GGCTGATCTCTGAGCTCTTCTTCGACTGCCGGATCCCCCTTTTCTCATTGCCGCCCAGCAGGGACATGATCTTCGAGAGGCGTGGACCTAACCTCAAGCCTGAACAAGTGGGTACGTACCGGATCTGCTTGTGTCTTGGACCTCGTGGCTCTTCCTCCTGGGACCTGCGAAGACTCTGGAAGGCGTAGCTAGAGCTGTCCGCTGATCCTGCGTAATCTTGGTAATTAAAGTTATCTCGAATATCCGAGATTTTCGGGTAGACCCAAACCGCCAAAGGACAGCGCTCTGCCAGTGACAATTTAGATAGCGATACTAAGAGCACCGATTTCCCAAAAGATTACGCAAAGATTTTCTCGTTCCCCGGCCGAAGAGCCCGAAAGGACGTATTTTGGCCAAGTCGTAAAAGCCGACAAACAATGTCCTCCCGGCCCTAGGGAAACGTTACTCCCGTCCCCTGCAAGAGTTTTCAATAGCGACAAGTGCAACTTCGCACCTTCCCTTCCGTTCGCAACAAACGACGATTGAAGATCCCTGGGATCGCCGGAGGGACACGAAAACCTTATGGTCGCCAGTGGTTCGGAGGACGCCCATCGATCAATAGAATAATCTGAGCCGGAGTTTGCCGCTGATAAGAGAGGCGCTATAGGGTGCATCGCGCGACAGAATGAATAGAGTCCTTGTAGCGGGCCGACAGAGCACCTCTGTCTCGTTAGAGCAAAGATAGAATTATTCAGCCAGCAAAGAGAGGACGAAGCCGGGAGGAGTCGGCAACGCCTGAAATAGACTCGGCGCAAGATCATCCAAGGCAAAAATCTTCTACGAGTTCCGCCGACCCATAACCCTCTCTCTGGCTCGAGAATAAGATTAATTAACGCCGTTACCCATCGCTACCTATTGTCCGGTAGCATCGATCCCGGCAACAGTCCAAATTTCAAATTAATAATCCGCCGCCTCGAACTCACCGACGGACGCACCGAGGCTGTACAATAGACGCTAAAATTATATCGTGAGTCCCGTGAAAACTGCCTGATTGATCCTCCACAAAGCCCGGATATCCCGCGATGCCAGAAATTAACTCAATTCTTCGTGCTTTGATCGGCCATCTTCGGACCTTGCCCAATAACAGGCTCTTGCCGCATGTCAGCGTGCACGTATATCTATAGAAGATAAACCATCCAGGCAACGGGGACTCATCCCTTTCGCCGAGCCGTCTCGAACCTGAAAAATGATCGGGATAGTCATTTACACTAAAGACGTATTGTGGGTATTATGGCCCATTATAATGGCCTCCCACTACCCGATACTAACTAGTCAAACTAGTCCCAGAAAATCCTTACCGACTTACCTGTCTGGCATCGTCCGCCGTGATTTCACGATAAATCTCACCGAGTGACGTCAACGCTGATCAATTCCCAAATCCAGAGGTCTCCCCTGCGCCGTCGCCTCTGCCGATCGTTGCTGACTCTCTTACTCCGTCCCTTTATTTTACAGCGATTACCAATGCATCCCGACACGGTGGACACTTATGGCGCGTTCTCACGTACATAAATTCTCGCTTAATTCACCGTTTGTCTCATTCAAGGAAAAACCTCTGATAAACCCTACAAGGTCGTACGGCGCGTTCGTACACGATGATTGCTACGTGTCCGGGATCATTAATCATTCGTGGCTAGCTGGCACCCTGAAAGCTGAATCTCATCGATGGAGGCTCCAAGTCGACATCTTGACTCTGTGTATAAATGAGAATGAGTTACACCCATAAGATCCATGCGTGCGGTTGATCAGCAATAATGAAAAATAAATATGTACGTCCCGATGAAAAATTTATTTTAAAATATTTTTTTTATTTTTATTTTTTTCTCCACAACTTTCCTTTACCTCTCACTGGTTACGATTAATTCGAAGCGAGCCTCCTGTTTAAATGTTTGCCAGCGAGTCCGCTCCCTAGAAAAAAGAGATAAGATATCTCTTGGGGGATGATGTCTGGGGGTTAACCTACTACACTGGCGAGGAGTATAGTAACGGTCAGTGCCTATAATAATAATATATAACAGTCAGTGTCAGTGAGTCAGTGATGATACCGAGGAGTGATTCAGTACTGCTCGGCACCATGTAACTATTAAAAGGTTAATATCTCCAGTCATGTAGCCTAGAAGGATGAATTGCATTCTGATGCGTTACTGACCTCCATACTACATGTATTATGAGAAAATTCGAAAGGGCCTTCTCCCTTCACCCTCGTCGATTTCTTTCCCTCGAGTCCCGGGTGCATTACACACAGAAGTTTATACGCCCGGTGCCGCAGCATCGCTCATCTTACCACTCAACCGGTAATTAATTTCATGATAATTACCGGCGCGTCCTACAGCGAGCTTTGGCTCTCGGAAGGCTTGAAAAAATAATTACGGTATAAATTCTAGAGGCCAAGGTACGTCGGATAATGTCGAGACCGACGAGCACTGCTATTACGATCCTTTGGAAAAGTGAGTGGCTGACTGGGCGACCGACTTGGACGTTTTACTGGCTTCGGAATTAATCCCCGGACGATCCTTACCATTCATCCTCTTACATTTTTTGTCATTACGCGTTCATCTCGATTTTACGAATCATGGGTAATTCAAAAGTTCAATTAAGCACTTGAATATATTGTAACGTGGCGTTACAGAGCTAGAGGGGATACCACCTAGGAATCACCGAAAAATAAATAAATAGGACTTATCAGGTCGGACAGTGGGTTCAATAGCACAGTGGTAAGTGCTCGACTTGACAGTCCGAAGGTATCGGGTTCGAATCCCGATCAGAACTCCTAATTTTTCGGAAATTCCTAGCTCTCTAGCGCTCCCTGGCGGTGCTATGGATATGAATTAATTATAGCGGGGACGAGCCGAGCCGGGCACCCCGTTATAATATATATTATTGATTGTACTATATCGGCCGCCAGTACTTTGTCTTTTGGTTTATTTGGCATTGTCGAACTGCCAAGGGTTTCGGTATTGTCTTATCGACGTCCCGCGGCGTCCCGACGCACCCTTCAACCTGCAAATATTGTTTAACCGTAAGCGCGAAGGACAAGTGCTGGGATTATAGGCTGATTTCTGTGGGCAATGGACTGGGGGGGG